AAAAAAAAAAAAAAAAAAAAAAAAATGGCTGGGCACGGTGGCTCACGCCTGTAATCCCAGCACTTTGGAAGGTCAAGGTGGGTGAATCACGAGTGCAGGAAATCCAGACCATCCTGGCTTGCATGGTGAAACCCCGTCTCTATTAAAACATACAAAAAATTAGCTGGCCATGGTGGCGCACGCCTGTAGTCACAGCTACTCGGGAGGCTGAGGCAGGAGAATTGTTTGAACCTTGGAGGCAGAAGTTGCCGTGAGCCGAGATTGCACCACTGTACTCCAGCCTGGCAACAAATCGAGACCCCCATCTCAAAAAAAAAATTAGCTGGGTATAGTGGTGCGTGATTGTAGGCCCAGCTATTTGGAGGCCAAGATGGATGGACTGCTTACGCCCATGAGGCCAAGGCTGCAGTGAACCATGATTGCCCCACAGCACTGCAGCCTGGGAGACAGAGCAACACCCTGTCTCAAATAAAGAAATAAATAAAAACAAAAAGAGGCGGGGCACGGTGGCCTGTAATTCCAGCACTTTGGGAGGCCGAGACAAGCGGATCACTTGAGGTTAGGAGTTCAAGACCAGCCTGGCCAACAGGCTGAAACACTGTCTCCACAAAACTAAAAAAATTAGCCGGGCATGATGGTGGGTAGTCCCAGCTACTCGGAGGCTGAGGCAGGAGAATCGCTTGAACCTGGAGAAGGCGGCATCAGTGAGCCGAGTGCAAAAAGTGAACAGAGGTTCTCAGTCGGTGTGGATCTCGGAAGCGAGCCACGGAGAAACAGCTAAACGGGTTCTGGGATCAGACATCAACATTTCCCTAAAGGTGTGATGGGCTCCCAGAAACGGACCAACTGAAATGCCGGAAGTGAGCCTCAGACATCCCGGAAGCAGAAACCTGGATCCCCGGAAGGAAACCAACCAGCAGCATTCCTCACCCAGAAACGTGACAGATGCCTTTTCCAGGAGCGCAGGCCAGAGAGGTAGATCTCCTGCAGCACAGGGGCACTAAGTTCCACTTCGACCCCGTCCGAGGTCAGCGAGGGTCGGAAGCCCACGGCCTGGTGCGCTTCTGCCATTTTACGCTGGAGTCCTGGGGGTCCGGCAGAGACATTCTTCAGGCCCCCGGCCCCTCCTCCCTCAGACCCGGGGGCCTCAGACACGGGAGTCCAGGCCCCCAGCCCCTCCTCCCCCAGACTCGGGAGTCCAGGCCCCCAGCCCCTCCTCCCCCAGCCCCGGGAGTCCA